GTCAGAGATTTTTCTTTTGAGTCTCAATAATTTCTCAATCGAAAAATGAAAATGAATACAAAAGGACAAACCACAATCCCATGGTTGGGATATGATAGAGAGCACAGAAGTAAAAAAATTGGATGGATAGCCATAATTTAGGGAAGAAAATCATGAAATGATTGACCGACTGATCTGGAAACAACAGGAGGGGGAAAGTAAAGAACAGCAAACAGAAAAAAAGAGACAAAGCAAGAGGAAAAGAATGGCTGGGGAATAAAAAGGAATGGATAATGACTAACGAAAAAATCCGATGAGCAGCCACAATTTAGCGAAGCCAATCCTGAAATTGTTGACCAATTGTTGGAGGAAGCAGGCGGACAACCCATTTCTTGGCCACTGTTTCTAAAAGCTATTCAGCTGCTTCTGTACTTCTTTTTTTCCACCGAAGAGAAGAATAGTCCAAGAAACGGGAACAATGAAAAGGAAAAGAGGATTATCATCTTTTGTGGAACAATCCCACAGTTCGGATATGGATGGGCAGCCATAATTGACTCTTTGTGGGAGAAAAGAAAGCTGAAAGAAAAATTAACGGTAAACAGAGAGAGACAGAAAGGAAGAAGAAAACAAAAGATGATGGGCTAAAGTTGTAAAATGAAGTAGAAAGGGAGTGTTTTGCTTTCCTGCCATCGATGCACTTCCAGATTTTTATTTGACTTTTTGACTCCTATGGGCTAAAGTTGTAAAAATGAAGTAGAAAGGGAGTGTTTTGCTTTCCTGCCACATCGGTGCACTTCCAGATTTTTATTTGACTTTTTGACTCCTATGACTTCTTGTCTTTGATAACGGAGACAAAGAAGTGAAGAACAACAGAGGTGATGGCAACTACGTCTAAGAAAAGATGACAACTGAGAAATAAAGCAAAAGGCTATTCGCGAGAAGTCAGAAATAGCCCTCAACAGTAAGTTACTGTTTTGGAGTTAGTTATTTTTATCTGGGCAAGATAGTAATTTCATGTGAAAAGACAAAAATGACCTCAACAGTGATACACTGTTCAGAGAACTAATCAAGATTCTCAGGGCATAAACGGAAGAAAATTTTTCTCCCTTCCCTTAGCCTACCACGTGGCTAAACCTGGGAGTAGAAGTCTTAGCTTTTTATATATATGTAAGATATATATATGTTCACATTCGTTGAACTTCGGCTGGCACAATCCTATTAGTAGTATATATAGAAAAGAAAGAACAAGTGACTGCTGTTTTCATCTTTTCTGTTTTTACCATTTTGGTTAACAGTAACAGTAGCGTTGGATAAAAATAAAAGTTCCACCAGAGTCCCATCTCTTTCGGCAGTTGGGAGATACCCATATGGCCAACACACACAACTCAATTCCCTGTGCTCCTGAGAATTATTTTTTTGTTTATGTTAGTTTAGTTTACTGGAATACTGTGATATTTGGGGTTTCGTAAATAAACCACTTATTTGTTTTATCGAGCTCAGAAACGGTTCATTGTACCTACTAGTTTTCTACCTAAGACGCACGTTGTATTCTATCATTTCACTGTAGTTGGCCAAACCAAGCCAGCAAATGTCCTCCTCAGTTATCTTCCTTCTTTTTGGCTCTTTTTATGGTCGTGGAAGCCAAATGTTGGAGTTTAGTGGTACACTGTTAGTTACTATTCTATGGCGATATATATATATATATATATACTAATAATTGCTTCAAGGTCTGCGTATTTTCTTGTCAATGTCGGTTTACTCGTCAGAGTCCGCGTATTTTAAAATTTGGGCTTAAAACTGCTGGCTGAGAAGAGGGGGCTTTGATCAACGTGTTGGGCTCCATGACCGGGTTGTATGAAAGCACAACACTCGTCGATGAGCAAGTCTGGAGTGGAGTGGATTTTCCGTTCGGACAAGATACCTGCCCGGGCCTCCAACTATTAATCTTGTCCACTTTCAGCTCTTTAACTATTATTCGCGTACTTTTAGCCCTCTTATATCTAAAAACATATATATATTTTTAAACCGTTTGTCAATTTTAACTATTACTCCCAACGAAATCTACCTCAAAATGACATAAATTTTATCACTTTCAATCCTCCAATCACATCTAATACCGTTGCAACTACTGCATACTGATCAACGACCATTGATCATTGTTGATCAATAGTTGATCACTATTTTAGTGTTATCAAATTTAAATGAAAGCATACTTTTAGATTCTATTTTTTGAGTAGATTCTGAATCTGAACTCAAATTTTTATGAGTCCTGCTAGTTATGACAAAAACGTTAGAAGTGGTGTGGAAAGTGTACGCCTTTAGAAGTTGGAGGGCTAAAACTATGCAAATAATAATTGGAGGGCTAAAAGCGTGCTAGCCAAATATTTTTTGAGGGCCAACCAGATAATTTGCCCTTTTTGTTCTCTCTCCTTTTTTATTTTCTTTCTTTTTTTTCTTGGCTACTTTTTTCAGCTAGGAAATGACAAAAAAAATGAACTACGACCTCACCCAAATGTACATGCTCGCGCTATATTTGCATACCTATTTCTACTAAGGCAATGTTTGAATTGTAGGAAAGTTTTACGGGAAAGTAAAGTGAATGAAAGAGAGGTAAAAGAAAATGAAAATAAGTTTTCGATATACGTTTGGTTACTAAGAAAAATATTGACAGAATATAGGAAGTTAATATTAGTTAGTATTGCCCCCTGCGGGCCGACAGGTTCCGCCAACAAATCCCGTGATCGTACTATCAATAATAATAATAACAGTTAGTAGCAGTTATTGAAACTTATGTCAAGAAGTTAATAAAAATTAATTGGAGTTATTAAAACTTCTGTGAATAACTAACTATTTTACTTCAAAATCCTGCAAAATTTGTAGGGCACAAAATACAGGAAATTGTAGAAAAATGCATGAAATTTTTTCAACATTCTTGCCAACCAAACATGCATGAAAGAAAAAATAAATAACTTTCTTTTACTTTCCCACACTTTTCCTGTAAAACAAAAACTATCTAAAGGTAAGGTCGATGCTACTTTAGGTCAAAGAAGACGTTATCATACAAGCATGTTTGACTCTTCTGATAATTTTCAGTGTTAATTATTTTCGTAATTTTAATACTTTTTATCTTTTTTTTTTTGATAAGTGGAAGGTCTCAAATCCAAGGTCCCTCACTTACATACCCTCTCTTCCCGTACCACTTAATCTATCCCTTCACTCCTCTTACTTAGATACCCTTATTTTTGCATGTACTTTATCTTAAACACACCTTTAGATATTTCCAATTATGATACATTTGATAAAACTGAAATTTGAAATATGAAATATGAAATTGTTGAGTTATTATATTGTTAAATATTAAAATTTTAACATCTGCATGTATTCTGCATTAAATGATCAGTAACAGTTTATCACTTATTTTTTGGTTGGAGTAAGATTTGCTTGGACAATTCAAATCTCATTAATTAATTAAGATGTTTTATTTTTAGATGTCAAATATGTATGAATATATTAAAACCTGAAATCATTAAATTTAAGTACTTGTACACACACCCAAAAACACACGCTAAGGGTCTACACAAGCGTGGATGTTCAATTTTTTCCGGAGAGTGTGAATGCTCAAACTCAAAGTATATATTTTTCTTTAAAAGTCAAACTTAAAAAATCATTGCTTTAGGCAAACTCCTTTCTTTTTTTCCAAAAAAAAAATTGAATGTTAAAAGTCAAAACTTCCAAATTCTGCCAAATTGATAGTTTCCGGCATATTCTGCCACGTGGACCAGTAATTCTGCGACTCGGTCATTCGTCATTCACGATCAAAAGTCAAAACTACTACAGAATAGCGGATTCATTCTCCACGTAACAATTTCCTAACTAAACTCTCTCTAGGTTGGCTTCCACCTTTTTGTCACCTGAATGGCCTGATTAGTTAATTAATTGCAAATTCTTGATGAGTTAGGAGCTAATCGATTATTGTTGGTTGAAGAAAGGAAATGGGACTCCTTGGGACTTTGGTGGGAATCATAGGCTTTGGCATTGGAGTTCCAATAGGCCTTGTTCTGGGTTATCTCATATTTATCTACTTTGGGCCACAAGATGTTATCAAGGTGATCATACATCGATTCATGCGTAATAGACATCTGTTTTCACATTCTTTTGCACTGTACATAGCCTCCAAAGCCTTCAGGAGTGGCTAGCAAAATGTTTCGAGGAACATTTTTTGCAGAACCAATCAATGCCTTGTTAATTTGTGGTCCACCAATAGCTGGATTGGCACTTGGCTTTGAAGCTACTGATAATTCAACTAGACCAGTTCCCCTGCTGCTTCCTTTTTCCCGATTGTATCTAAATTGGCATCTTTTTTGCATTTATGCATGTCAAAAAAATTCTTGTTTTTCTTCTTTTGCTTGTGTCGGCTTCTGCAACTGATTTTCCAGTCTTGGCTTTTTAGGCATGCAGAAAGAATACCCTTTAATTGTTAGAAGAGCACTGCTATAACTATACAATGGTCCTGGAGCAATAGATAATGCCAGGGACTAACGGATATTTGCAAGAACATTTCACCTGTAGTCAGTGCAGATGTTGTTCAAATATTTTTGCTATGTATTTGAGTAGGAATTTGGAACTGAATCAGCTAGTTGAATATAAATTTGCAGGATCCTGTCAGTAGGGCGCCACTTGAGGAGATAGACTCCAACTCCTTAGTTGATCTACTACCTGAACTTCCACTGTGGGTTATGAAACCAGACTATGAGCGAGTGGGTATCGAGAATAACAAATAAAACTATTTTGTCTGAGTTGAGGTAGATTGTAACTATCCCTCTTAGTAGTTTGTACTGAAGATATCGACATTATGTTGTAGGTGGACTGGTTGAACAAGTTTGTACGTCATATGTGGCCTTACCTCGATAAGGTGATCGAACTTATGATGTCTCGTACGCTTCAGATTATACTGCGTGATCTTAAAGCAGAGTCTCATGTTCTTTTTGTTTGAAATAGTGAAGTCTACAATACAGTTGTAGGCCAAAAAGTTTTATAAACATAATCTCCTTTCCTCTGCAGGCAATTTGTGGGGCCATCAAAAGCGCAATGAAACTTTATCTTGCTGAGTACACTGGCAGATTTAAGTTGGACTCTTTGGAGTTTGAGATCCTTAGCCTTGGAACTCTCCCTCCCTTGATTGATGGTACGTAAGTATAACACTTGTATGCCTATGCCTATTTTCTGGTTAAGGGTCCTTGATCCTAGTCTGGACAAATTCAGGTCCAGACCAATCATGACAAATCTCAGATAAAAGGTTTACAGAAGAAAGTGCAAAGAATTACCCAGTAAACGAGGCAGATCATAATTTGTTTTAAAAAATAACAGTACTGGAAATGGGAGTATGACTTGGAAAAATACAAAAGTGGGTTAAAGAAATGTCAATGGAAAAGGCATGATCAATATGAACTGCTTTGTTTCTATGAATCTCAAAGTTTGTCCATCAACTTGGCACTTGGCAGGTATTAAGGTCTACGAATCGAATGAGAGTCAGCTATTTTTTGAGCTTGCCCTGAGATGGGCTGGGAATCCGAACATGATTCTGGCTGCGAAACTCTTATCTGCGAAAGTCACTGTTCAGGTATATGTCATGCTGCTTAATTTTTGTTTCATCCGAAAAGAAGATAGCCAAAGGTCATGCATTTTTGGCTTCTTATTAAGCATCATATTTTACTGCAAAAAAAAGGCATCCAGGAGCAGCACACACGAAAAAAAAAGACAGATGAATTATATGAACAAGCTCAAATACATCATATTTTTTGTTATGCTTATTGCAGTTGATTGATTTACAAATATCAGCAGCACCAAGGATAATTTTGAGACCTATTGTCCCAACATTCCCATGTTTTTCAAGTGTAGTAGTGTCATTGATGCAGAAGGTAAGAAAAAAGAATTTCGCATATTAATAAAAAGCTTGGACATTACTTTATGGATGTGGAAGAGCTTTAATCAGTATACTCTCCATTTTCTGTAGCCAAAGATAGACTTCGGGCTGAAGGTCATGGGAGGGGATCTGATGGCCATCCCTGGGTTATACCAGTTCGTGCAGGTGGGTCGTCATCTGCCTTTCCATTATATCAAGTAGCCCAGAAAGTTAAAACCTTATCCGTGGTTAGCAACAATTATGTTATCAAGATGCTAAACAACTGAAGCAGAAGTGAAATTCTTATGAAGAATCGAATGTTAAGCGATGCAGAACTTGGAATAGTTGTCTGGAAAAGGTATGGCTCAGAGTCATCCACAAGAAAAGGAGATTTAAGAAAATGAACGATTCACGATTTAAGGGTTATCTTCCTCATATAGTTCCTGGAAAAAAATGCCCGAGGTTATTACACCTTTCCCTGACAGTTCTGTACCCAGTCAGTCTTGTAGATAACTAATAGATAATCCACAATCTTCTTAATTCAACCACATGTATGAATTAACAAATCTTGGCCTGCACCTTGTATCTTCTGTTCTCTTTTTTTTTCTAGGCATAAACGTGCACGTTGATATTTTTCATACTTGCAGTAGAGAATTTGATGTAGCATTTGGTCTTTCCATTGGTTGCAGGAACTTATAAGCAAAGAAGCTGCTAAGCTTTATCTCTGGCCACAAACGCTCGAAATACCTATACTTGACAACTCAAAGTAAGTAGTGAAGCTACTAAAGAATGATTATTTTGCCTCGGATATTACTGGGAATGCCTTTCAGCTTCTTGGCTGAATTACCTGTCATTACCATGCATGAGCAATTTCCGTGATCACGGTTCCGTGCCATATTTTTGTTTTTGCCTTCAAGGAGCATTCATTTCTTCACGTCAATAGCTTAAACCTAGATTAATTCATTCATGTTTACACGATAAGACTAAGACGTTGCTTTCTGCTTTTTGTCGTCTTAGAGCAAGAGTGAAGAAGCCTGTTGGGATATTGCGTGTGAAGGTTTTGAGGGCATACAAACTCTTGAAAAAGGACTTTCTCGGATCATCTGATCCTTACGTTCAACTTAGTCTTAGTGGAGACACGATTCCTGCCAGGAAGACTTCCGTCAAGATGAATAATCTGAACCCCGAATGGAATGAAGAATTCAAGCTCTCAGTGAAGGACCCCTATACTCAAGTTCTCGAGTTACGCCTCTATGACTGGGAGAAGGTTATAAAGCTCTTTCCCTGATAATATTCAACGTGCTCTTAGAACTTCGTTGATGATAGTTAGTCATTAAACTTCATGGTCTTCAAACTACAAGTTTTTCAGGCTTCGACTTCGCTGTTTTTATCTCAATATTGCAATTACGATAGATCACAAAAAATTAACATGTCATTGGACCAACCTTTGCTTTGCAGGTGGGGGCACATGACAATTTGGGAATGCAAGTTGTTCCGCTGAAGCAGCTGACGCCATACGAGAAGAAAGAGCTTACACTTGATCTGCTCAATAGCACAAATAACAGTAGTGATTCCCATGACAAGAAGCCCCGAGGTCAAATCATGTTGGAGATTACCTTTGTGCCTTTCCTAGAAGACAGTAAAAAGTTCAGCGGAGTCCCGGATTATGCTAGAAATGGAAGTACTAAAGAAGCCCCTGCAGACAACTTGTCAGGTGCTGGTTTACTATTGGTGACGGCAATTGGTGCCGAGGACGTTGAGGGCAAAAACCACAATAATCCTTACGCTGTAGTCCTGTTCAAAGGAGAGAAGAAAAAAACTAAGGTAGTTGATTGCTTACTCTTTTCTTTTTTTTTTTTGTTGTTGTCGATCAGTAACATTTATATTGTCGCATTATCACCCATTTAGGCCAATGGGGTGTTCTGGCACACTCTAAAATTTTTTGAGAGCAAGGTGCGAGGTTTGAATCCCTTAATTAAAATCCCTTTTGGCGATCAACTTGTTGGTTGATTAGATCCCACATTTTGTTATAATGGTATGAAAGACATGGTTTGGCATTGGTTTCTTGGGTGCTGAGTTTCGATGTAATATGGTGTCAATTTTCTCTAGTCGATCAGCAAAAACCGGAATCCCACTTGGAATGAGGAATTTCAGTTTGTGCTGGAGGAGGCTCCATCCACGGATCAGATCCATATTGAAGTCCTGAGTAAGCGAAGAGGCATTGGTTTCAGGTCAAAGGTATGGTTCATCAATCAGCCCTACATTTACAACCGAGTTTATAAAACGAGAAATGCAAGCATAACTTTTGTCTGGGGATGCATAGGAATCACTGGGGCATGTTGATATCAATCTTGCTGATGTGGTGCATAATGGGCGAATCAATGAAAAGTACCATCTTATCAATTCCCAGGATGGTAAAATACACCTTGAGATTCAATGGAAGGTTATCTGATATTTGCTGCCTCCATCGTAGTGTCAGTACTAAAGTACAGATTTGAACTTCTTTGTGCCCAATTTTGCATTCTTCAATTGTACATATATGTAAGAAAGGATATGAAGAAGGCAATACTCAATTACAAAAGGTACTTTGATCGTGTTTTGCTTAATTTCTGACATGAAATGTTCCATTTGTGTGTAATCATTGTTTTGTCTGGACTCTGCCTCATACGTTGATGGAGCTTATGTCGGTTGGATCATCTATATATATCACGTAGTTCTGAGCAAATGGTTAAACGTAATGGATATATTTATCCAAAAATCAATCTTTTTTTTTCTTTTTCTTTGTTTCGCGAAAGTATGAGGGTAGCCCTTTAAGTTGGCCCAAGACATAATAACAGCAACAAAGATTCATGAGAACTGAAAACGGCCCAAGGAGAATTAAAAGAGAACTAGTGGTGCATACGAGATTAGGTCTAAAGGGACAGCGTCCTTTGAAGACAGAAATGCCCTCGTGTATATATATATATATATCCCCAAATATCTGTCTCATATATATATATATATATATATATATATGTATATCTATCCCCAAATATCTGTCTCTCCATTGTTTTTTTTTTTTTAAAACAAAATCAGAGAGGTGGCGGAAGTCGAGCAGAAGGAAAACCTTATCTACTCTGCGTATCCCTCAAACCCTTCAAAACCAGCAGATACTCTGCTACTCATCACTCACTCACTACTGATTCATATCATGGCTGCCTCTGCCTCTTCGCTTCACTTTCTTTCATTCACCCCACAAACTACCCTTTCTCTATCAAAACCCAATGCCACCCATCTTAATTCCCTATCTTTTCTGTCTCCTCCTCCTCCGTCTCTCACCCGCTGCTTATCCCTCAATGCTTTCTCTTCTTTGCACCCGCGGGAGCTTTCCTTGCCTTGGTCCCGCAAAGCGGCCGTTTCCTCTGACTTGGACGAAATCGGAGTTATAGATGGGGAGGAAGAATTAGAAGACGAGGTTCTCGGCGATGGAGGTTCCAGTCCCGAGGAGGAGCCCAGTTTCTCCCCTGACCTTAAACTCTTTGTTGGCAACTTGCCTTTCAGCGTCGACAGCGCTGCTCTTGCTGGCTTGTTCGAACGTGCTGGAAATGTTGAGATGGTTGAGGTACATTCGTTCTATTTCTCGCTTATCTTTTGTAGTTTGACTAGAATCTTGGAGTGAGAGTAATTGGCCCCTTTTATTTTAGTGTAATTTCTTTCGGGAGTCATAGGAATTGGCCCTTTTCTGTTTAGTGTATTTTATTTGCTATGTTTAGTTGCAATTTCAAAGGTTGCACTTTTGAACCTTGTCTGGGTTTATGAGAGTTTATTACAGTTTTATTTACTCATATCTTACTTAGGTAATTTGAAGTAATGGCAGTTTAAGCATCTGGTAGTATATCTGACGCTATCCCTTTTTGTTTACGTCATTATGTGGGTGGTTCATGGTTGAATTGGTGCAAGAAAATTAGAATTGCTTTGCTCTTGCTGACTGGCAAGCTTGGGTTTGCAGGTTATCTATGACAAGGTTACTGGAAGGAGTAGAGGGTTTGGTTTCGTGACCATGTCCACAACTGAGGAAGTTGAAGCTGCTGAACATCAATTCAATGGCTATGTAATTTCTCACTCTTTTAACTATTCATGCATGTCTTTGTTTGCTTTTGTTTGCTTTTGGCTTTGGTGCTTCTCTTAATCCTTTAATAGCTGTTGTGGCTATTATGAGGCAAATTGTAACATTTTGCGTGTTCCAGAAAATGAAGTCACCCGCGTTGAAATTGAACTAAAGCACTGTTTGGAGTTTGTTCCGTCTTACACATTTTCATGTCAAGTTCCATCATGTAGTCTTTAAATAGCATGAAGCTGTGTTGATTTTCATATGGTTTCTGGCTGTTTCGGTTATGCCACTTATTCACAAGTCTGACAAATTTTCAGGAACTTGAGGGGAGGGCATTGAGGGTGAATAGCGGGCCACCACCACCTTCTAGGAGGGAGGCGGGCTCTTTTAGAGGAGCCAGAGGCGGGGCAAGTATTGATAACACCAATAGAGTCTATGTAGGAAACCTTGCATGGGGCGTTGATAATTTGGCTCTGGAAACCTTGTTCAGTGAGCAAGGAAAGGTCGTGGAAGCCAAGGTGGTTTATGACAGAGACAGTGGCAGATCAAGGGGTTTCGGTTTTGTAACTTACAGTTCTGCTGATGAGGTCACAAACGCAATTGAATCTTTGAATGGCGTTGTAAGTTATTGTTCTATAACAACTGCATTATATCTTTTGTTGCTGTATGTAGTGCATATCAATTTATTCTTCTAGGTAACCCTATATCTTTTACACTTCTACGGCCCCTGAATCAGAACTATATTTTGGACTGGCTACTGGTCCGTTTGTCACCTCTTACTGTACTTTTTTCTGGAAAGAGGATGTTAGTATTATCTTTTCACCATGCTGAACTATCAAACACCTTACTGTAATCATACTGGAGCTGTGACGTTCCTTTTTTTTTTTTTGTCTCTTTTGATTTTTTTTGAACCTTAATTTTCTGTGTTAAACTTGAGGATTAAAGAGTACCAAGCTGTTACTGATGCTAAGACTCACAGTGTTTGGCTTTTTCCAAGAATGGAGCACATTAAGCAAGTAATCTGCCTTGATAACACTCTTATGGATATATTGTCCTTGTTATTATTTGCATATCCTACTCTGCTGGTTTTTGTCCTTTGCTTATTTAGTTCATTGCATAGGATTGAAATACTACATAACATGTGGTTGCCAACAGGCATGACCATGCTAGTGCGTTTGATCTGGTTGCTTTAAATTTGTTTCTTGCTGCATCATCTCATTTTGAGCTGTGAATTGCAGGACCTGAATGGAAGGACAATCCGTGTAAGCCCTGCTGAAGCTCGGCCTAGGCGAGACTTTTAAGTGACTTCTTGTTTGGTCATGTTTTTGCTTCTCTCAAGTAAAGGTAAATGTTTTAACATTAAGCCGTTTTGCTGCTGCCTTTAGATACTGGGATTAAAAGCTCGCTTTTTAAAGATGCTCGGTTAATCAGCTTCACCAGAAATTAAGAAATTCTTTTGTATTGTTATGCTTCTTATGTTTATGGCTTAATTTGGCTAGTATGACAAGTAGTACTGTTTTTGATATTTGACGTTAAATGCCTGTAATTTCTGTAACAGTCGTCTAAGTAGCTGAAGTGATTCTGAAGGGCTCACGAATACGCAAAGATTTTGAACAACCTGCTTCACTTTGCGCACCAAAGTTGCAGTATAGATGGTTAATGCTCGCATCCAGATGCTAAAATCCCACACTTGGGAGTTTTGTCGATGCATCTGAACCAAGAGCATGACTAGGTCGCCTGCCTATTCTTTTTTGGGGGAGAAAATCATGAAATTGTTGGATCATTTGCATTCTATTGATATTGGTATGCATAATCAATCAGATGACCTTAAATGTATACTCATCTTGACTTAGCTCTGAGCCTAATCTGTGGCTAAAAAAGATTTATCTATTACTAAGTATGTTGTTGGTCTTGTTTTGAAGAAACTTTTGTTTAAGAGTCGTCTGTTTTCAAGCCAACGCAAACAGGGCAACAAAAATTGCAAAGGATGAAATCGAGCACCCGCCGGGCGTTCGAGTTTGTTGAGTAATGCAGTGGCTGAAACTGGTCACATTTGAAACTGGGCCTAAAGCTCCAGAAGGAAGGCATCACCCAGACCCGGTTATGGGCCCGAGAACCAATAGAGTAGAATCCAGGGCAAACTGGGTTCCTGAATTATTCGGATTAATTGGGCAGGTCTGCACGTTGGTAGTTCCATATCCGACTCCCTTTCCATGGGCCCTGGTCGGAGACAAAAGCAGTGTGCCCGTTCCGGGTGCTCTAAATTGCTTCACGTTTCATGCGGGTTTTAGGAAAGAAAAGAAACGAAAAGATGATCACAAGTTAAAGGGAAGGGAGGAAATGTTCGTATCATAAGGCATACATATTTTATCGCTCTATCTTTACGTTTGCTTATGGGCACATCTAAAATTGTTAAAGCTAAAAAGCTTTAGCAAACAAATCTATCTAACTCCGTAAAACAAAAAAGGCTATTCGAAATTAAAGAAATCTGTCGAATTCTTTTCTTCTATTTTTCAACTTTAAACTCAGTCTTCTGAAATAGGTGAGACCTCTCTCTCTCTCTCTCTCTCCCCGAATTTGTTCTTTTCTCTCCTTTTGTTCCCACTTAAAGCGAAGTCCCAAAAAAAAAATAATTAAGTAGGTGAACATGGGCTGGGCCGGTAATGGATGATGTTATTGCTTGGCCCTGTAATACCCTGAGATGGGAGCCTAATATAACACGAGCCAATGCGCCAGTCCGGACTCCAGAGAGTCCACACTAGAGAAGTTTCACTTTTGTCTGCCAAGTGCAGTTTATTTTCTCATCCAACTGGGAAAAAATTGCATAGGGAATAAATTAATTTTAGTGAATGTTTTGACACCGGAAATTATTGATAGTGGAAAAAGAGAGTAATATTTGCGGGGTTTGCAGTTTTGAGCGGAGGAGGTCTAATTAATTATTCCAAGAATTGAGACATTAATTAATTGTGGAGGGGTGGTGGCTTCATTGGGCAATGATTATTCGTAAATGGCATGTGGAGAATGGCTGTTGTTCCGTTTGATTAATATGAATACTCCATAAAAGTGGCTTAAAATCAAGATTACTATAAAAGACGGACGGACGGACTGGTGACTGGTGAGTGACCTTAATCATTCTCTTGGAATTTTAATGATCATTGCCTTTGACTTGAAAAGCGAGCGACAGAGTAAGTAAGTATTGTTTATGGTAGTAATTAAGCAGGACACATTGTAACTTGTTGCATAGGAGTGGTTGGGACTGGGATGCCTCTGCCAATGATGCTCCTTCATGTTAGAATCATTATTATTATTATTATTGTGGTTTCTCTTCTTCTTCTCTCTATCTATCTATAGACCATTCTTAAAATGAATACTACTGTACTACTACTACTACTACTGCCATACTAGATCCCATCCCGGCCGGCGAAGTCTACTGACGTGACGACCCCCCTGCTACTACTTGTTTTTGACCTTATTTGTCACTTTTGGCCCATATCATCAATGTATATATATATGTATATATGTATATGTATGACTGTGACTGCGTACGTACTTTGCCTAAAACTGGAGATGCAACAACTTTTATTCGTGCTGTAAACTTCGCTTAATTGTGGTCTACAGCCGACACCTTAATTTATGTTAGCAGCTGTTTGTCGTTTCTGTGTGTCTGGCTGAATCAAAATGTTCCAAACTTCACACGCAAGGAAATGTTTCACCTGGCAGCAGAAAATTGTCTCGCCTTTTTCCTCCGGTCAAGAAAGCGTGTTTTAACGATTGGAGAAGAGGAGAGATCGCTTGAAAGTTTCACACCACAGATTTGTAGGCTTTAATTGCTTCACTTTAATCACGCAACGTTTTTGTCTTCCGGCCGGCTAATACTTAATTTAAGAACGCAACCCCAATGGTCTCTCTTCCATTAATTCTTTCTTTTTGTATCTACCTTTCTCTTACTTTCACTTTTGAGTACTTTCTTCTTCTTTTTTTTTGGAGCTATTAGCTCAATACTACTTAAATAAAAGAGAGGAGAAAGAGAATCTTAATATTATAAAGGTCCTGGGATCTTTGCCTGAGAAGGAAATTAATCACTACTCACTGCTAGCTAAGATTTTTTTGGGGGGTTGTGTTCAAAAATGAATTTAAGAAAAAAAAAAAAAGAAGGGCTGGTGGGTGCATGGATGGAAGAAGGAAAACTTGAGAGTGGAATTTGGGAAAGTGGAAGCGGATCGGGGTAGACAAAGTGATGAGCGCGAGACATAAAATAGCTAGTAAAAAGGGCGACAAGATCAGAAAAAGAGTGAAACAATCGTGGGCCCCCAAAACCTAGTCAGAAACCGCCATGTTTCTTTTCTTTTCATCCTGAAGCCTCTCCCCACTCCTCTTCTTCTGCGTTGCTTAATCCATTTAATTTTGCTTCTTCTGTGATGTCACAGTTGGTTACGCATGGGACCTTGGGCTCCTTGTCATGTTACATGGTACGTGCTCTTTCGGTGGTGAAACGTTGTCACTTCGTCAGCCCACGCGGCCCACTTTGACTTTTTGCTGACCGAGACTTAAGTGTGTTTCCCATTTCTTTTTCCTTTTTCCTTTTCCCTTTTCTTTTCCGTGGGAGTTTTGCCCCGTGGTTAGAGAGATTCGAAGGACCGTCGCTTGAAGGATTTTGGATTCGACTCTTGTAAATGAAAGGAAAACAATCAATCGTCCCCAAATTCGGATTGGTCAGCGTCTGGTGCTGCTGGTATCAGCAGATGCCTAGTTGAAAAATGGTTGAAAAATAGGATATTGGACCAAAATAATATACTTCGGGACCACGTTGGTAGCTCCATTTCCATTGCGTATGTGAGGGACTAAAAGGAGACTTTTCTTTTTTTTTTTTTTATAATTGTGAGGGACCAAAAAACGCAATATTCCATGTCCAAAGTCAAGAGTGAAAATGAACCGTTTTGAATTTGTAATTTAAGAAGTCAGAGCATTGCAATTTATGTCATTTTCGAATGTGGCTTACAAAAAAGCTAAAAGTATTAGTAATTTTTGTTGACGGCAATGATTTTACTTCATCGTTTCTTCGTGCCAAGAATAGATGCAAGTAGTGAGAAATGATGATAGCGTAGCTTTGCCTTGCAATTAACTTGCGAATTGATCATATGGTAACCTAACGAGTGAAGATGCTTCCGGTTGAAGAAGGAGGGAATCCGAGGGCGGGCGGGGAATTCCCGGTCTCCTCCACGATCAACTGAAAACATACTCCCACTAAGAATGATGCGGTGGGGGTGATTGAACTATTAATTAATGGAACAGCAAGAACAGGTCGAAATAAATACTAACATGTCGTGGATTCCGATAACCCCAGCAAGCAGCTTGTTGGTATTTTAAAAGGCGCTCGTGTCACTTTACTGGTAGTTTAATGAAGCCCGACAGTGGGATTTCTTTTTATTATTATATATATGTATGTATATTAGTACTATATATCATGGCCATGCAGCCTTTGCCTTTCTTTCGATCCCTAATTATTGAGAAATTTAAAAGCAAAAGGGAGGGAAGTGGAACGCCATCCACATTCGCAATGCTTGATCCGCATGCATGCAAATGCAAATGCAAATGCAAATGCAAATTCCTCTGCCGTCATTTTGGACCAAAAGGTAGCGCCATATTTAGCAGACATGCAATGCAATGCAATGCAACCAAGAAGACAGAAAGAGTAGCGCCAAATGGCTAATTAGGCACTACTTTGAATTCTAATTCTGGAAATCAGAACGAAAGAGAACCTTTTTCTGGCCGTTAATCAAGGCAAAATAGTTGGCTGTATCGCTTGTGTGTTACCATAAACTTTTACTTTCATCAAAATTTTCTCCATACTCGAATCCCAACAGTGTCTCGTGTCCGGTTTCTTCTGAATGCCGACTCTTCAACAAAAGCATCACCATTCATTCCGTCTGCAGGATAGTAACCATTGGAATGTCTCTGTCAGTCCCACTAGTGTCTGTCATCTTATTAGACCACTCACACCTCACGAGACAGCAGAACTACTTTTCCAACCATGCCCATATGAGCTCATATTTTTTTTTCCAAACGATAAAAGATTCCATATGAGCTCATATTAAACCAACAGATTTCCCCTAATCCATCACATCATCCCTCTCTTTTTTTTTCTTTCTCTTTTATATATATATATATATATAATACTTATTGGAAAAACATTTTATCCAAGAGTTGGTTGGAAAAGGACGACGTAATGAGGATTACCAACCAAGAGCTAAATAGTTGCTTTGGTTGTATTACGGGTCCGTCATGGCCTGGGCTCCCCACAAAAACGCGTAACCAACCACCTTTAAAAAAAAAAAAAAAAAAAGATAGGTTAAATTTGGCCAGGAGAAAGAATAGGAGCGTTCCAATTTGCCTTGATGCGCAGGCATATACCCTATGCGTCCTCTCGCGAAATCAGGACAATTAAGTTGCAGTTTCGAGATTTTAACGGTATTAACTGTCAGATTCCTGATTAAGAAATTAGATGGCGGTAGGGGAGGTACATTACATGATCGAATGAATTGGGGTTGGTGGGGTCCTAGAATCTTGTGGGAGTTTCCTACTGCTTCAAGTTGTCTTTATCGGTTGGTTGATTAGGATTTGGTTAATCAGGTAGTTTAACTGTCAAAACAGATGGCTATGAAGTATTAAAATCCCTAGAGTGTTTTAGAGTTCACATCCTCCGGGTAGTGTCATTAAGTCAAAACGGGGTCAGATTGGATAATTGCACCTCATGACCTAACCTATATACTCCAGAAACTAGCATTACTCTGAGCAGAGGGAAAAGAAAGAAAACTCCCTGTTCCTTTCACCATTCACTGTTTCTTTTGTTTTTTTGGTGGAAGGAAAAGCCTGGAGGCGAGGTACACCTTCTGGTAACCGTCCTGACCAGATCAGTTTGGATTGGAGTTTGCAATTATCATGCATGTCTTTAATCATCGATCGCAACGAGAATTGCAAGAGAGCAACAGGATTTTGGCGCAATAAACCAACGGTCAACGGACTAAATTCCCCTGCTCAGCTTCACCTATGACCAATTTTCTCAATTGGTATCGGCATGGTCTTTTTTTCTTTTTCTTTTTTTGCTTTAAGTATCTGATATTTCCACCCTCAGTAAATCTAATCCGGATTTGATTTGTAAGATCCGATTCTTACTCACGAATGAGTATACGCTCGTGGAATCCGTCGAGAAGCGCCCGTAGGATCCGACTCTTATTTTTTAGTAGAGATGTAACCTAAACCTTTATAAGGCGCCACATATAGAAGTCGAACTTGCGACCTCCCATTGACATTAACAATCCACGTAACAGCTGTCCTAATCTCATGGATTTTGGCATGGGGTCTTTCAGTTTCTCTTTTGAAGCCGCAACCAATTTCACTTGTTACATACTACTAGTAGTAGTATTTTATTGTATCGCCGTACAAATGCATCCAGAAACACAGATGACATTGAACAGGCATTTACTAGATATGTAAGAACTCTTGTACTGTTTTTTTTTTTTTTTGGGTTTCAAGTGTGTTGTTAACTTCTATGTCGCCACATAAAGCCTAGAAGGTGTAATTTGGCATATGATCGAATGTTTCCCAAATTATTTTTCTTTACCATAATCGATTGCGTCCGGTGACAGTTTTTTCTTTTTCCCCCCGGTTCTAGAGGAATATTTGGACCCTGTAAAAGGAATGTCGCAAGTCAAGGCACAACAACAACGAACAACCATGCTCGATCGATGGATAATCAGTCTTTTCCTTGACATGGTCCAGCCGGGATGAAAAAGAGGAGGTCGGGTCAAAAAGCACAGCTATCTCAAATCTCTCCCTCTCCAACCACTGCTTGATCAATCCCTGGAAATTAGGCTTTTACTGACTAACAATAAAACTGCTAATGAGTGATCCAAAATCCAAATTAGTCTTTTAGACTCGAAATCACATATAAGTGCCCTGCATCACATCAGACTCATATCACACTACCAGCAAGCAACCGTGATGCAAGTATCCCGTACTAATCAGGTTTATCACCTCTGGGGCCATCACTAAAATTAAAAATATTCCCTTCGTTCTATTTTGATAGTCCTGTTTTCCTTTTTCGTCTGTTCCAAATTGTAGTCGGCTTTCTAATTGAAGAATGTAGTTATCTTTTGATTTCTCTAAAATACCCTCATTCTACGTAGGTTTTCTTGACCATCAATTCAAATTTTCATAAACCATCAGTTTAAGTTTTCATAAATAATTAATATAAAGTTGTACTCTATTTAATGTAAAGATATTTTAGAAAAATAGCAATCTAAATTTATTTTTTCAATAAAATTAACTACCTTTCATAAATTGCGTGAAGAAAACTATAGGATTATCAAAATGGGACAGAGTGAGTATTAAAATTAATTAAATGCTAGTCCTCTGAGTTTCCTACGTGAAGCGGGAGTTAGTTAATCCAGAGCAGGAAATAAAAAGAAAGGCACACACTTATATGCTACCGGTATTAGGGCTACTGTGTTTTCTTAAGAATGGATGAATATTTACCAGCAATGCTCCCAAAAATGCCTGGTGCTGCGCGTCGCACTCCCGCTAGTGGGAAGTCAATTGGGTATATATCTTCTTTGAAGCTATAATTCACAAACTGTAGTTTATTTATGCTTTTGATTGGAGCGCTGCAGCTCCGCCTGGATATTGTCCAAGATTTTAGCAACTGACAAGAAAACTCATAAAAGTAGAGACCAAAAGTATGGAAATTTTAATGAATATGATGTGATGGGGATTTTTGGCAAGGCTAAAATCCGCAAACAAACAACCTAGAAGCTAGAGCTTGTTTTGCCTTCTTTCCGGGGTACATAACGTGATCTAAACCAAATCTTCTTCAAAATGCTTTACTTTTTTTTTTTGGTTTGGTTGGAGAATAAAATGCTTTACCTTTTAATTATATATATATATATATATATATATAAAATTATGCAGACTTAATTTGCAATTGGTTGTGCGTACCCAAGTCATATTACCAGAAATAAATTTTGATAGGTATTTAAGACCTTGAAATTTTTTTTGTGGGAGAATTACAAGGAAGTTGAAAATTCTTTTAGAAAATATGTTGTAATACATAAGTAATTTAAGTTGTACTAAGGGTCTGTTTGGTTGGAAGTAAAATGTTTTCTTTGAGAAAATATTTTCCGTGGAAGTAATTTTCCATGAAAATCATTTCCCTTTCATCATTTTCAGGTGTCTGGTTAGCTTATTGAAAATATTTTCTTACTTCATTTTTCTGGTGTTTGTTTAACTTTTGAAATATTTTCACTTTTATCTCTATCTTTACTTTCTATACATTATAACTACATACTTCTTCCCATGCAAAATAAGAAAATTTATCTCATTGTTTAACTTTAAAAAATCTTGGAGAAATGTATATATGAATAAAAAATATCTCCTTAAGCAATAAACAAATTGCTGGCCATTTAGTGTCAAATATTAATCACATGCAATGCTTATTGTGACATATATCTTGCATTCTCACTGCTGAAAGTTTCTCTAGAAAAGAATGTCCCTATTATACATAATTAATTATTAGCATAGGATGAGCAGGATGAGATTTTTTTTTATTTTGAATATACTAGGAGGAGGATTGGGTTGGGTTGGGTGGTATGGGGGAGGGAGTGTAAGGAAGATGTCTTGGGTTCGAGTCCTCCTGTTTACACTAAAAAAAAAAAAGAACATACTATAAGATGTTTTCAGTAAATTTGGAACATACTACAGGCGGGATGCATGCATTTTGGAAAACAACTTCAATAAGTTTGGAAGGGAAGTTGTTTTCCATAAGATGAGTGAAAATATTTTACATAGGAAAATGTTTTCAATAACTTTTGTGCAACCAAACACGGGAAATTAGGAAAATATTTTCCTGGAAAACATTTTCACCCTAAACAAGCGGACCCTAAAATTAAAATAATCTCTTCACATGTATGGTTTATAATATAAATCATACTTATAAAAAATTTATAAATTAGTCAAAATTAATCAAAAAATGATCCAATGACTAAATATATATCTAGGAATGTAGTATGCTTTCCAAAACACCTCATTTGTTATACTGGACAATAATTGTTGTATATCTAAAAAATTTACTCATTATTGCATTTATAACTGCTCATGTTTTCACTTTTTAATCTTATTTTATTTTTTATTGTTGTTGTAAGCATCATAAAGTAGGATCACATAAGGGTAGTATTAGAATAAAAAAAATTTCGTTCTTGCATTTCTTCCAAAGGGAGCTAAAAATGTTACAAAAAATATCATTCTTAGGGAGGTATATGAAATTATACCTTATATCTAATCGAAACTTTTAACTAGTAAATGCAGTGGATCAAGCGGTGAAAATAGAGAGCAGTCACACAGACGCATAGTATTATGAGATTGGAAAGGTAATAAGATATAGAAGGGCGGCAACCATTAATTTTTAGTTAACCATTAATGCCTTGTCCTAACAGATTTAGTAGCTTTTCAGAACATGTGTTGATTTTTTTTTTTTTTTTTGTTTAAAATCTTCGAAAGTAAATCATTTTTTTTTTTTTTGAAATTTCATCAAAGCTGCTCTTTTTTTTCCCTTTATTTTTTTTTCTAATGTAAGCGAGAAGCTTTGAACCCAATATCTCTTATTTATATTCCCTTCTTTCGTATCCTTTTCTGGAAATAACGCCTGGATTTCGTCGCGCGATAATGATTTGTACGTGGCTGGCCAGTCCAAGATCATAAAAATTGTTCTTGTGCCGCCAATTTCCTCATCTTTACATGTAATGTGAATTTGCTCGTTCATTTGCGTGCTAATTTGTTAATGCCGAGTATCGTCGATTTATGTCTATTGAGGTGCTAATAAGTGTGAGCTGTAACAACTCTTCGACACTTCTAAATTCCAGAACCCTCAAAGAAAGAAATCTGCTGCCGGTGCTGCAGCAATCAATTCAGCTACTTCAACCGGTCAGATGAATTCTCAACAAACGGAGGTCGGTGAGGGTGACAGTTCCGCAATGTCTTCAGCAAGCCAAGCTGAGAAAACTGCAGCATTGGAGCAGATCATAACAAAACACCTGTCTGAATTGCAATCTGATCAGCCTTTGGATATGGATTCCAACAAATGATATCGCTCGGATTTTAGCCTAAAAAATAATTAATGATGAAACACCTGCTTCCATATTGTGGCATGGGCATAATCATCTCGAACTAAAAGTCCATCTCAATAATTACTACTTAAACAGACAACAGAATGCCAAAGCGAACGCAATACGAGGATGACATGTAATGAAGGTGTATCATATTACAAAATGTGAATTACATGATCGATCCCCACAACACGCTCCCAGAGATCTAGAGTAACTTCAACAATGAGCAATCAGGAAAGCTCTCACAATACCTTCTCTGGTAAGAATATAAGGTTAGCCTCTTTAGCTGCCAGATGTCTCCAGAACATGTCATGATCAGAAATTGGAGCCCATCTGAAGTTGGACGAAGTCGCCATCCAACCACATAAGCAGGAAAATTCAGTAAATGTCTACTCTTCCTGTGAAGCAAGTCATGCCATATCAATGGCATATGCACGTATGCATTCTTGGCCTATGTTCTTCTCGTGATTAATCAGCTTCTCCAAACAAAGAAAAGTTGTGAACTCCATCAAAATCTGAGTAACATCATATTCAGATAACATTCTCCAAAACTCCAGACACCAGATAACACCTAAATATGTCGCATGCTGCAGTTAAACTTCTCTGCTTCAAGCTCTTGTTTCAGTATCTCTATTTGTTCAAGCAGGTCCATATTTTCCTTGTAATAGTTCAAAAATGTTCAATAATTAGTATCGGTTTAACTGCATAAACAATAGTTACCTCTATGGGGCTTCCATTAGACTAGTTTTCATGACATCTGTGTGGATCAACAGAAGAAATAATTCAGACAAAACCTAAAATAAGAGCCTTGAGCAATCACCTTCTCCAACAACTCCAATTTCTTGTTGATACCAGCCGCACTCGCAGCCTGGCGAGATTCCTTGATCTATGAGGCAAACACTTGGATTAAATGCAGAGGTTAAAACAACCAACAACAGATTAGGTTTTTTGATGTGCATGGCCAAAAGAGGAGACAATTAAAAGAATTTCCTATACAAAAGTAACTGGATGGGGCTTCAATCACATTGACTAACAATCCAATGAATGAAAGCTGGTAGGTCACAAGTGTGTGGTAAGTTAATTTGTGCTTGACAGTTTCACATTTGAGTACCACAAACAAGCCTTTCACACAGAAAAATCAAGATCCAGGTACTTTTTTTCTTCGCATGCATTTCCCTGCCAAGCAGATTTGGACAAGATAATACTGTTCCAGCTGCTAAGCTTTTTGGTTCCTATTAATTACTTTTCTGCACTAATGGAAGATTTTGAAACAAAAAAAAAGTGAAAAAAACCCAAAAAAATGAATTGCACAGAACTGACAGAAATATTTTGGTTTAGTTAATCTCCATTATGCTATCATACTCGGACCAGTTTGAGTTTTAGGGAAGCCTAGGTACAATATCTCAGATTTTTCATTTGTTGAACTCTATGAAAACCAACAAATTTTTTTTTTCCATTTCTGATAAAAAAGACAATATTTAGATAAATAATCCTTCTGAAAGCACCATAGGAAACTCAAATTTATAGACAATAAAGCCATCAATAACCTGACCAAGGAAAAAATTAGCTACTGATCATTTCAAATAAGACTGAAAGTAGCTCCATAGTGTATTTTACACGATACATGCATATTGGTTACTGAAGCAAGCTCACAGAAATGATATTCATATCCAGGTTGAGCAATTTTACAGTGTCAAGTAACAACATAACAGTTCCGCAAACCAGTATCACCTACTTGTCATGGATCATGTTCCTCAAATGAAGACATAGATATGACATTATAGCAAAAAACTCCACAAACAGAGCATACTTGATCGAGTTCCTTGATGCACATTTGACTCTTCTCGACCTCCATATCAAACCTCTGCCTCCACTCTGCAGATTCATCCATGGCTTCTCTGTGGGCAAGATCAAACTGTTGCCTACAAGTGGTCAGTCAACAGATACAATTACACATTTCAGGACAAGAATAACCAAATATATTTACAGAAGAGGAATTGTACTGGAATGGTAATGTAATGAGCCGAGGATAGAACTCGATAGCATAAACTACATAAAATACTCTTTTTTTTTTTTTTCCTGCAAGGGAGGGGTGGGACTTAAGAAGTGGGGAGGGAGAAGGGAAGATGAACCCAAGACCTATACGTCCTGAAGCCTCAACCTTAACCACTAGAACAAGGCCTCCTCGGCCCCAAACTTTACTACATAAACTACATTTGACCTTATTGAGTGCTTGTTTACCATTCTTAGGTCCTTTTACTTCTGTAAGCCGAATTTGCATTTCCTCTTTTTTCCAGAGACTGGAGTTTCCACATAGCAAGAGGTAATGCTTAGACTTGTCTAAAATCTTTCTTGTCATATTCTTTTGGTTTCAGTTACGTATTACTGGACGGTACGAGGAACAACACGTATATGCCACTCACATTCCTTTAGCTGATTTGATCAAGTAAATGAAATCAAAGCACGAGAACCAATAATGCCCGTTCCTTAAATATAATAAGAAAAAAAATAAAAAGACTAAAGTAATAAGCTGGTTACCCTCTTCTAAATATTCATTAACAACAAAATTGACTATGGATTTTTACGAATAGGGTACAGGTTAAGTACTGTGAAATTAATCTGGCAGAATTTAATTCCGGAAGAGGCAATTCCCTGTGATATTTTCTCAAGAATCCAAGCAATTAGATTTTGGTCAAAAAAAAAAAAGCCCGCATTTTCTGAATTATTTACCAAACCATACATCTCTGACTAGGAGACAGAAAGAATGAAAAGGGGAAACGCGAAATGACGAAAGGGGAGCAGCAAGGGTAGACGAGACGATTACAGTATAGTGACCTTAGCAACAGGGATTCCTGGGAAGAGATCCGATAGTCGATGGTCCAAATCTTGATGTAGGCAGCGATGGCCATCAGCATAATCACCACGAAGGCTATCAAGATTCCGCTGCTCTTTCTTCCCATTGCTACCACTTTGGTGTCTCTTGCTGTAACAATATCCATTTTGGCCCTAAATGTCTCTTTTTATACTACTACTAGTAGTAATCTTATAACAAATCCGAAATTAGGGAAGGCCCATCTCTCCCAAAATCTACCTATCACTATTGACTATGCAGCGATATGAAGCTGTAGGAGGGCGAGTAGCAGGAGGCGTTGGAGCGAGGATGGTCATTAGGAATTTTTGGGTCTATACAAGGCTTTTTTTTTTCGCCCGAGTCTGATAACAGAGCCAGCCCCGAAGCTGAAACAGTTGCCATTGGTCCAACGCCACTGCACCGCCTACAATGCAAGGGGACATCTCATTTCTTTTGTTTTTTATTTTATTTTATTCTTTCGACATACAGCAGTACAAACTTTTTGAAAAAAAACAAAAAAAAAAGTTATAGCAGTGCAAATGAGCTGAACAGAGAAGCCACCAGCTCAAAGGCAGATGGTCACCATCAAACCTTTAAGGTTTGACGTGGGAGGTAAGGTTTCAAACCCATCAATTATCATATTAAAATGTGGATTTGATTCAAAAAAATTTAGGTGAATGTGTAATGCACTCGTTTAGTCCGGTGGTGATTCAGTTTTCTTCGAATTATCCTTGGACCTCCATAGATCCACCCCCTCCCCCTCCCCCTCCCCCCTAGTATAGGATAAATTAGGATATATTGCTGTTGTCGTCTTCAAAAAAAAAAAAAAAGAACAGAAAAGGCCTCCTTTTACATAAATGTCATTAGGTCAATGCCCTCCTACACCAATCCTGTAATTTGGCCAAATTACAATGACCCTTCATGAGTTATGGCGTTCTAAACCAACTAACGGAAATATATGGGATTCATTTTGTCATTTGAACAAACGTCAAAAGAGGTAAACATAAGTTGGATAAATTTCAAGGGAGGTAGTTTTAATTAACACAATTTACAAAAGGGTATTTTGGTGCTTTCAGACATGTATTTTGATGATGCAAGCACTATTTCTAATTATGGTTAATGTGAGGTGGGCATTTGATAAACATTTTGACATTCAAGGGGTTTGACTATAATTTAATTAACTATATAGTTCATTTGATAATATGGTCAAAACACAAGGATGGTAAATGTAATAATAAAACAAAAAGAGTAAACAAAAGTAAAATGGTTGACCAAGAAAGTAAAATCCTAAAGCTACGAGGGATTTTTAAAATGTAGAGGCAAACAAATGTGAGTGTCATACCTTTTGTTTGGTGAGTTGGAAATAATAATAATAGAACACTTTCGATTGTGCCGGTTGCTTGCCGTAAGATTTCGATGATATGTTTAATTTACTAATATCAGAGAAATCATGATTTAAGCACGATTAGTAACATGAAACTATTCTGAAAAAGAAAATTTCCCTTCGCAACAGAAAATTTCTTACACATGAAATTAATCAACAACTCCCCTCGTGCATCACATGGGTCGACCGAAATTGGTTCAGTTGTGAACGCGACTGAGTTACGTAAATAACTTTAGGCATCATATGATTCAACCGAAATTGTTTCAATTGTATACGAAAGTGAGTCATGCAGATAACTTAGTGCAGTAATCCGCGCAGATAAAAGTGCTATGAAACAACTTTGAAGCATAGTTATTAAACTCGACCCGAGAAGGAACTCGGTAAAGGAGATGGATCAACGGATCACTGGTTCAACCAGTGAGTGAGTAGTTGAACCGGTAGGTTACTAAATATATTTAAATATTATATTTACATAATTTTTTATATAAGATATATGATATAAATTGTAATAAATAATACCACAGCAAATGTTCATTTAATTTAATTCACTATAGAATAATTAATTCATATAAGAATCAATAAAATATAAATTTATTTAGTAATCCACTAAACTTAAAGTGTAAAATTTTATCTATATTTAGTATAATTATCTAGCTTATTTATAAAATTTAAGTGCAAAAAATTATTTAAAATAATATTTATCTTAAAAATAAATTATGTAATATGTTATTTTTGAAATCTATTTTATAACTTATAGAGTTTGGGGTGTCATAAGTTTTTATTAAAATATTTCAAATAAATTTGTTTTAGAGAAATAAAAAAATAAAGATAAAATTGATAAAACATTTATATATTATAAGAAAGTTACCTCACCAACATCTACTAAGTGGTTTGGTGGTAACGATGCTCTAGTGATAAGTCTTTTTTTATAGTTTATATACGAAAGTGCTTTACATATAGTTTATAGTCTTTTTTTTTTAATAGTTTATATATATACGAAAGTGAGTCATATAGATAACTTAGTGTAGTAATCCGCAAGATAAAAGTGCTACGAAACAACTTTGACGAGTCTTTTTTTTTATATAGTTTATATATCTTAAGAGAAACCAATTAGGTACTCAAAGAGTAATTGACTAAGTGTCATTGGAAGGCGATATCTTTTAACAAGACTCTTCTGGAGTGTTTGTGGAGCAGGGCTTGCCTAGCGCATCTTACCTTTTCGTGTGATTGGCGGACTATTGCACGTAACGGGAGTTTATCTAGTGTGTATGCTCAAATAGCGATTGTGGATTTCCTTGTCGATGACAAAAAAAAAAAAGACTCTTCTGAAGAAAATTTCGAAAAACAATAATACGTTAACATCCTTCATCTTTAGAAACAAAACATAGTAATAGCGGTTAAAATTTATAAATTATGTTTGTCGTGAAAAGAGGAAGGACAGCAAATTGTTTGCGTGGCGCTGTATTAGTTTGTCTCGTGGATCACCTTTTTCTTCTGTGTTCCCACCATGGGTGGCCGGTGGCTAGTGTGTGGGAACGGAAGGTTGCATGTTATGACAAACGTCCATGCATGGTCAGAACTGAACACATCGCCAGTTTGGATATCCATTAGGTTATGGAAGTTAATAGTGATTACGCAACAGTTTTAGACTTTTGATGTTATTGGAGAGCAAGTAGTTACAATACAAACAAGCGTCAAATTAAGGATTAAGGATATCGGGCACTGGGAAGCATCCATCCCATCCAAGTTAGCACGCAAACATCAACCTTGATAGATTAGACTAAAGTGCCAATGGCTGCCTCATCTAAACAAATGTCTCGCTGCTATATTAGTAGTATTATTACACTAAGTGAGATCCAGTGGTGTCTCATCACGTGGTTTGTCAAATAAAATGACAAATTACTTTAATACATTATGGTAAACAATTAATTGCCAAGCACAGAATGCTAATAGGGAAAATTTCAAGCGTCATTTCCTGACCACTAAATCGACCCTAGTGGTTGCAGGAATTAACTTAAAAACAACTAATTGGCCGCAAAATCAACCGATGCCATTTTCTTTCATCATACACTTCATAACCATGAAAATTTGACTTCTCTCTTTGGCCGGGCATCATTTTCTATTATCTCATTGTTCCATTTTAAATAATTGAATACAGTGGAAATTAACGGATGGGATAATCTCAAGCATCAATTAATTAGTTCATAAATTCAACAATTAACAAGATATTTGTCTGGTGACATTAGGTCGCCAAAACAAACAAAGAAGCTCGTCATAAAAATAGCTAAGTTATTATAGTGGTAGTTTTGCAATTTCCTATAAATTTATAATCGGTGCTCAAGTTTATTCATTTATTTATTGAATTTATTTGCGCGCAAGGAAAAGACAACGGAGATCAGGTCGTAGTTTTGCAGGGTGCGGCCAATGCATTTAATCTGTACGCGGCACGTACGGAGATTGTACAAGGAGTTTCGATACTAATCGTAAATTCAATTTGTACGGGGGTAGATACGAAATTAACTTGGTCAGTTGGTTTGATATTTACTCTCTGCATTATTATGATCATTTAATTCGGCGCAATAAATACAGGACACGAGCTTGTTTAATTTGTAAACAGTCGGTGATAAGAAGTATCAAGATCTTATCAAAAGTTTTTTCTTTTTTTTTTTTCTAAAAATTCAAAACTGTTCACAAAAGGAATACATACATGCACTTTATTAGATAGATTGCACTTTGTGCTGGCATCGATTGACAGTCTCCTCCTTTTATGGCTGCATATAATTAAGGGCTAATTTCAGAAACCTCCCTTGAGGTTTCTAATAATTTTACTTAGTTCTTCTGAAGTTTAAAAAATTACATATACCTCCCTTATCATTTAAAATGACGATTTTATCCTTAAATATTTTAATGAAATTCTCTTATTTGGTATGCTTATACTTAGAATGGGTTTTAAAATTATTTTTTCATTCTTGTTCCCTTTTTTTTTCAAATTTTTCACCAATAAAACTATAGAACTACCACTATTGCCCCTAATTTCTATATAACCAAATATCGAATTAGTGATTTTTTTGGCAAGTTAATTTTATATGTAATCCAATGTTTTTGGTGATATTTGTTTTCTACTTTTGGTTTTAAAATTAACAATAAATAAAAAAAAATTGCCCAAAAGCACTACTAAATTATGATAATTCCACTGCTTCAAAAATTCATAAACTCTAAATGAATTATTTCAACATTTTCTTTTCTATCTTATAAATCTAAATCTATAATAAAATACCATCAAAAGTATCATATCATAACAATAAATTATAATTATTTATCAAATAGTAGATATGAACATGAAAATTCAGCACATTTTCCTTATAATTATACTAAATAATTTTATAATTATATAGAAAAATAAATTAAAACTCATTACACGAGAGCATTTTTGGGTATTCATTTAAAAAATTGAGCAAATCAATATTATTTTATGTTTTTGTTACTAAAACTATCAAATCAAGGGAAGTAAGTATAATTTTTTAAATCTTAGAAGAGCTCAATGAAATTGTCAAGAAACCCAGGAGAGGTTTCTGAAATTATCCCTATAATTAAACATTTGGTGATGTGTAAGTTTCATTTTGCGGCCCATGCTAAGAGCCTAAAACTTGGATAGGAGGAATATGTAGGAGAATGTCAATTTATTAGCGTCATTCACAAACATGAAAGACTTCCCGTCCGATCCAAATAGATAGATAAGATTAGAGAACCAAAAAAGAAAAAAGTATTAGTACTAGGAAAGATGAAGAAGCGAAAGAGAGGCATATTTTAGTACATATTTGTCGTTTACAAGAGGATGGATGATGAATTTTACTTCAAGGGTGGTCTTAGAATTTAGTAGTTTAGATAGGCTGTTGCTTTCTCACCTAACGCTGAATGAAAGGTCGAAACAAACAATCCGCTAAAAGTCTACAAATCTGCCTTCGTTTCTACCGCTACGCCATCTATCTACCAAAGGCATCCCTCGTTGCAATCGGTTCAATGTCTTAAACCATATGCCAAAAACC